AAAAAAAAAACATAAATTAAAAAATAAAATTTTTGGTTCAAAATAAACTGAAAAAAGGTTATTTAAAATAATTGATGGAATATATTTCTCCAGAAGGATATCGTCTTGATGGAAGAAGAACAACAGAAATGAGAAAATGTGAAATGGAAATTAACTTTTTAAGCACTGCTGATGGATCAGCAAGAGTAAGAATGGGTAATACTATTGTTGAAGCAGTTGTATTTGGTCCATTAGAAGGAAGAAGAAGAAATAGAGAAGGTGCTGAGCTTATGGTATCATATTCACAAGCTACATTTGCAACAAGAAAAAGAAGAGAACAAATGCACGATAGAACAATGATTGAAACAGCAGAATTATTAAAACAAATGTATGAACAAATTATTATTACCAAACTTCTTCCAGAAACTATGATTGATTTAAGAGTACAAGTTATGCAAGATGATGGTAGTGTTACAGCAGCTGTAATTAATGCATGTACATTAGCATTAATTGATGCTGGAATACCAATGATTGATATTGTATCAGCAGCAGAAGGAGGATATATTGATGGAAAAATGGTAGTTGATATGAATAAAGATGAAGAGAATGTTGGAACAGTATTTAATGTTCATACTGCTATAATGCAAAAGAGTGGTGCTGTGGCATTACTTCAAACAGAAGGAAAAATGCCATTACAAAGACTAGGAGATTTATTATCTATAGTAGAAGAAGGAGCAAAAACAATAGGAATTGAAATGAAGAAAAGAATTAGAGAATATGGTAATGAAGTATTATCATATCAAACTATTTAGTCTTAATGAATATTGATTGGTTATGATATAGTTTCATTCTTCGTTTCTTTTATTAAAATTGAACTTATTTTCTCTATTTTAAATTTCTTGTATGACTACTCCACAAGACTCTATTAATAGTCAACAATTATCTTCACCTGCTTTCAAAGAAACTACAGAGTCTGAGTTTGATGATTATTCACAAAATAGTCATTTTATTAATCCCAATATTATTGCATTAGGATTAGCTAAAATAGGAATAAATTCTGTTTTGGATGCATTAGATAAAGGAGAAACAGCAAAAAAAGAATCACGACAACCAGTTTTACCTAATAAAGCATATGAACAATTAAATTTATTTAATACAACTCATAAAGTGATTGAAGAGAAAACAGGAAAAAAATAACAAAGAAATAATCATTTGCATTAGATTAATTCAATTTGTAATTTCATTAACAGTTAGTTAAACAATATAACACGACTTATTTTCTTTATAATAGTTTTTATAAATCAAATCTACAAGATATTCTATTGACTCAACAACTTGACTATGTTGTTTAGCAGTTAATGCAAAATACCTCATGGAATGTTCTGTAGCAAATTGTTGTGCAATTCCATTTTGAACAACAACAGAATCATCCGACTTATTTCCAATAAGAATAAGACTCATATCCTGTGAGCCATATTTTTTGATATTTGTATAAAGTTGTTGAAGTGCATCAAAAGATTCTTGAGATGTTCTATCAAATACTAAAGCACATCCATGACATTTTTGGAAATAAAAATAATTGTTTGGGTCATCTTTTTCAACTCCCATTGAATCAACCATCTCAATATCAAATACATTTTTCTTTCTTTTATCTTCTTTATTTATTTTCTCAATTGCAACAGGACTTTCATGAAATTCTTCATTACAATATTGTTGTATTAGTGACGTCTTTCCAACACCAAATGTTCCAACAAAGACAATTCTCATTTTAGGTTTATTGGGTTGTGTTTGGTTCATGCGAAAATAAATTATAAAATTATTGTTTCTTTTTGTCTCTTTTCAAAAAATAATTATTTATATGTGTTATATATAACGTAAATAAGAAAGAATAAAAGTATTGTTGATAAGAACTACATAAGTTTAATAATGATTCGTCTTCAACATAATAAAGTTAATAACGATCCTTTATTGATTAAAGCAAGAGAAATGACAAAAGAATTCCATGGAAATGGTGGTAATTGTATTGTTAATGGAGTAACATATACATACTCTGCAATTGAATTTTTTGAAGGAGCTCAACGAATGTACATTGCTACAATAAATAGAAATGGTCAATTGTCAAATGGTAAAGCAAGTTGTTTACCTGAAGCATATGCCCAAGCATTTAAATCATTTATTCAATAAATAGAGAAATATTAATTGAAAAAAGAAGATATAACCAACAAATTAAATT